GCTTCTCTAAGCAAAACAACTATGACATTTTAGGGGTACAGCTCCTCAAACCACCTGTTCAAACCTGCTAATCACAGGTAATCTTGGCTTTTCAAGGGGATCACTCAAAGATGATATAAATACCAAATAACCAAAGACAAAAACTGTTCTAGAAATTTGCATCCATTTTTTGTGATAGCACACAATTATTTTCACAGTAATTGTAACATGTAACACACTAGAGAAAGTTCTTATGGGATTGACTCTCAGAAATGAACTGCAGAATATGCTTTGCATTTCTTATTATTCTGCTTCCTTATTGTCATTCTCATAAAATCAATCAAAGTGATAACTGGAATGTCTAGAAACAGCCAGAATTTAATCTGGAAGAATTATACACAAGTATATCAGCACTGGAAGTGTATCTGCTTAAAGGAGCTATGTATCACTACAGAGAATGCAATGTTCTGTGCTTGAAGCACTGGCATATATCTACAAGTGTAGAAAGATGACACTATGGAATACTGCTTGGAAACATGCATGCTATAAAACAAAAAATAAATATGCTACAAAATTTGAAATTAATTTAAATATTTTCATTTTATGACAAACCATATTGTAGATGTTTACATTGTATTCAGTAAATATAACCCATAAATCCTAATCTAACCCCAGATTTTGCTAGGAAAGATTTTGGGAAAATCCAGATGTCAGTCTAAACTATGTACCCTGTTAACTTCCAATCCCAGTTCCCATTTAGGTAGGGAAATCCTCAGCGGTGGGGCCACACGGCCAAGGACCAGGGCCAAAACTGCCTTGGAAGCCCTTGGCCTCAGTGCTCCAGTGGTCCTGTTTGCCCGTGGATCCTATGCTTTTGGGATGTCCAGGAGGTTTGTGTGTAAAATTTGTCATCATCTTAGAAGAATACAAAGGAAATTTTGTAAAGTGTTCTTTAAAGAATTTTTTTTCAAACCACATGGATGTTACTGGATAATCTATCCCAATAAAAACAGTTGCACTTTTCAATATACAGCACACAAATATATCAAGTGGCTCAATTGCAATGTATGCTATGTTCCTTGAAAATTAAAGGTTGAACCAGATAATCTTTTGAGGTCTCTTTCAACTAGGACTATTCTATGATTCTATGACAGGGTAACACGATTTTACTTGGAGTATATTATTTGCATAGTTACTGCTTTATTATATAATTCAAAATCAAATAATCAACACAACTTTGGACTTTATTGTGGAAAGAATGAAGCTGCTTGACTGACACATGATGGTGAATTAACTGCATTAGAAACTCTGGCCCTTTTACTTCTCTTTCACCCAGAAAAGGGCAAAAAATCTGGATTTGTTCTGTACAAAATTGCAATACTTCAGGCTACAACTTTCCTCCTCAATCTAAAAACTTTCATTCTCAATTTAAATTCATTTTAAATTGTTATGCTTTACAAACTTCCAAATGGGATTCTAATTGTTGACAGACATTTTACATTACATGTGTCTATCACTTTGATTTAATATGCATTTTCAATGAAATTTGAAAAAGGCCTCTAAGGTGGCAATTTGACAGCAAGACATGCTGTGAATTTTAGATATAAAAAATATCTAGTTTTCAAGGGGTTTTTGCACACGTGAAAATGTCCCTTCAGGAAGAAAAAAAATCAGAGAATGTCTGTGTAGCTGAATTATCAGCAGCTAAATATCACCAGGAATATCACCTACTGTTTTAGTCAATCACAGTCATCAGAGGCAAACGAGGTTTTACATTTATGCAGCATTTCAGTAGCGCACTTCAAAAAGTATTAACCATGAAAGAAATAAAATGTATTTGGAAATCCTATGTCTGGTTTATTACATCTCATGACCTGATTTAATTTTCTTCTACAGAAAACCCGCATTGAAATGTCTGTAAGTAATAGGTACTTCTTGTCAACTTTGATAAGAGACATTTGAAAGGAATTCCAAATATATTCTGAAAGATAAGAGCAGAGGTAGCTTTTCTGTGTCCCTAAAAGAGTGGAAACCAGACCTAGGAGAGCATACAAGCTACAAGAGAGACCTGTTCTATATTAAGTCTACTTTTGAAATCCTCAGAACTGTAGTTAATGTATAGGCCCTAATCTATAGACATCGACAGCACAGTGGGAACAACTCTGCATCTTTAACTTAGAATTTGTTAAACCAAATATTAGCTACTTTTAAATACTTGCATTTTCTTCATAACTTTAATACAAACATCTTGGCTTTGGCTTATTTTATATAAATAGCTTTATATCATTTTGTTTTAGTGGTCCTGCTGGGTGTCCCAAAACCTACACTTGATGGCAAGAATAAACATTCATTAAACTTCAAAGGCTGCCAAAAAGTCTAGTTATTTTGATTTAGGGGAATCATTTAAATTAATCCCTATGTTTGTGTAGAAAATATGTAATGTAATCCATTTCTCTGTCTCCAGCATCAAGTCACTTACCATTGGAAAAAAAAAATTCCTTTACTAATGTTTCCTGTCTTGAAAAACTGGGGAAAAAATGAAGACTTCATATATATTTTAAGAATTCTGGCTTAGTGACATTGAGAAACCAATATTATAATACACAACTGTGTACTTATATCTCTGCATAACTGCTGTTAAAACTAACATGCACAATAGAGTTCTTCAGTGGGAGCAGTAAAACCAGATTTTATGTATGTGTGTGTACATATATAATATTTTTATAACAAAAGAGCCAATTACTTTTTTTTTTGAATGGCTTTCTGCCTTAGCAGCCCAACTCAGCTGAGTATTGTTGTGCTACAGAAAACTCATAGTCACCTTTGTAACATATCTTCCTTTTTGCTGAGCCCCTCTTAAAACTGAGGAGAAACTTTAATAGGATGAAGAGCTTGGTTTTTAAAATAATTTTTACTTTAAAATTAATCCACTCTGCATCTGGAAGAAGTATGTAGAGCATACTCTGTCAGAGGCACTGAGGAAAAAATGAAAGGAGAACCTTGGCTATTGTAAATCACTGTAATGCCCCTGAAGCCAACAGGAGTACGTCAATTTAGACCAGCTGAGGTTGTGGCCTAATATTTGTGCTGAAATGTTGAGGCTATAGCTGTATCCCTGAGCTGTATAAATATTTGTTGAAAGCTGACTGTTAGGGTCCAGGGGGTGGGTTGCTCATCAGCAAATAGTTAGGTCCGTTGTCTTTTCACATTTCTTAAGGTAACCTTTAATTTTTTCGGGGTGGGAATTTTGCCCAAGTAAAAGTACAGATATGAGCCTCCTTACTTTATGCAGGGATTATACTGTGTACAGTGAAACGGTAATTTTCATCTGGACTTTTGAACTTGCACCCGTCTGACTGTCCTGCACTGATTCATGCAATGTACTGTACATGAATGACCAGGAATGTTTACAAAATGAATTAGTTTGACTCCAACTCTCTAGCCAGAAAGTAATCAAAGTGAAGAGCCAAGATATTTCTGAAACTCCAGCTTCCCTAGCTAGAAACTGCACACTCTGTCACTAATCAGCGTATTAATGTAAAATGTACATATTCTATACTGGAGGACAATAACAGCAGTGATTCTGAGCAGGGTACACACATTAACTATTCCACCCCCATACTGCTTGTGTGGTAGGCAAGTCTGATTGCAGCATATGGTACAGAGACAAAAAAAAGTCTAGCAGTAAGTGATTAGTCTACAAGTTGTAGTGTGGTTTGTTTTTTTATTTATTTTTTTTCCTAAATTAAATTCCAGTTAGCATTTTATTTCACTTATTTAAAAGCCAATAATGTATTCATAGACATACATTCAAGAATCATCTTATATAAAAATTTTTTTTAGGGTTATTCATAATTGGTGTCTTGAAAGTCTTGGAAGCTCTGGTTTATTTTCTCATTAATCATACTAATTTAATCATTCAGCAACATTAGGACTATCATCAGAATAATCTCATTCTATAAAACCCATCAGCCTTGTTAAATATAACATTAAAATTATTGTGAAAGAAAATAATGTTATTTAAGCGTTTTCTTTGGGATAGTCTGAAGCTCAAAATGGATCACTGAAATTTCCCTCAGAAAATCAGCCTCTTAAGTTGAAAAGCAACTGTTCACATAGAGCTGGAGATGTCTCAGAATCAAATTGTTTGCTCTTGTAAATGGCTAGAGCTCCACAGAGGGAGGATATGAAATAAGGCTCTGTTGATTTTCCAGCAGAGCATATGAACCACTTCCCCCACCCTAGTCAGTTAAAGCAAAATTAACAGAAAAATAAATCCTGATTAGCATGTGAGCTCTTCATTTGATACAAATTGTCACAACTCTACTGGACATCCAATTTAAGCAGAATTATATCAGAACTTACCACCAAGAAGATCTGGGCCAGAGTATTTTAATGATGATTTCATGTGGGTGGGTGAGAACCTGATTCTTCATCCTTATTCAGGCTGAAAACTAGGAATGCACTACAGAACTACAGAGTAGTTGAGAAATTAATTTTTTTTTTTTTTGCAGGGAGGGAGGCTAAAGAGGATCAGTTCTTCCAAAATTAGCAAGTGCTAGTGTGGTGTATAGCCCAGGTCAAATGACAAGTGACCACTATGCCGCCCAACACCTCCCTATCTATATCATAGCTGCATTCAGCCCCTGTTAGCTTTTATTTCCAGGCTAAACTTGCAAAATCAGGGGACAGGTAAAAATGAGTAACATCTGAAGAAAATAGCTTGGCAGGATATCTTTAACATTACCTAAAATTCAGAGGTTAATAAATAGTTAAATTTAGCTGTAGCTTCTCTTAAGTAGTTTAAACATAAGTCAATATTTTTGTCTTTTGTTGTCACAGGGTTTCTACAGGAGCACAGAGGATTTCATCAGTGATCTTTCCACACTTTATAGCATTATGCCTTTGTACTATTATGCGTCTGTACCCTTATCTAATGTGTTATCAGCAGTATGAAAATAACTGTTGGTCCCTTCACCCCAGAGCAAGTATCAATAGGAAGAATGACAGTGGCTAGTTTGCACACTTGAAATGGTTTATTTGTTGCAATCCTGTGCACAAGATGTTTATCAGTAAGCACCAGACAGCCATGCAGAAGAAGGAGCCTTAATTCTGTCTGAGACAGCCTCTTACTGCTATTGATAGTTAGCATCAGTGTCCAGTCTGAGAAATGGAAGTGCTGCAGGCAACTTCAGTCAAGACACCCTATTGATCTACTGCTTCCTTTGCGTCCCTGAAGCTAAAGAAGAAAAATAAAAAGGGGAGGAAAATCTTGCTGTATAAGGGGCAAGGCAGCAGTCTATGACTTACCATCATTCAAAAGGGGTGTGTATGTGCATGGATATTCCTGATATTCAGTACCTCAGACAACTGTAAATCACATACACAGCCATGATAAATATAAATGTCAATGTGTTGGAAATATCCTTTATATAAGAGGTGTCACTAGAACTACATTTTTAGCATGAAACATTTTTGCTGCTTTTTATTTTTCATTGACTTATTGTGCTTCTGTTATATCCTGTCTAACACAATCAATCTAAAGCATAATATGTGAGAGTCCCATTCATAAATAATACATATTTGGGTCATTTTCATTTGTATTCTACAATGAAGATTTACAAGCCAGAAACAAAACAAGAAACAATGTGTGGAATGCTCTTATTCAGTGGATAAGAATATATTACTGTGATCAATTAATCTGCTTTTCTCTGCATTAGGTGGACATCTTTATGGTACATCCATAAGGGTTTATAACTTAGGAGAGACAGAATCAGCTCTAAGGCTCTAACATAAAATGCCTGTACTCAGAAAAGAGAAACTTTTCCAAAGTTTTTTTTTCCAATGGGAAATGTGTTAAATTTGGCAAACTCAACCGCAGCAATACTCCATCTATCAACATAGTATGTTGCTCTGTCCTATATACTACCTCTCATGTTAAATGAAACAAAAAATTGACTACATTATACCATAGCTAAAAATAAAAATAATAATTCTGAGGATTTCTATAGTGCCATTCATCCAAAGGTAGTCACATGCTACTAGAAGCGATGCAAATTCATTCTACAGGAGGGCAAACTGACACACAGAAAAGGTCCCAGCTCAATTTTTTTTCAGCCAAAATTTAGTAGGCAAAATTAAGTAAAAAAAAAAACAAAAAACCTGTGTGTATAGAAATTCCAGGAGCAAATCATAACAAGAAAGGTGAAAGAAAGACATAAATTGTCATTAGTATATCAATATCTCATCTAAGAAACTACAGTCACCTGTGCAATCACCAGGAGAGCTGGTATTCTGATGATGGGCCATGTCAGAGGAGCAGCAGTAACGGCCTAAATATTTATAAATTTTGCCTGCACAAAAGGACCAAAAGTTAGAGCTTGGTGAGTAAAAGTCAGTCAGTGTTATTTTAGGAAGGAAAGTCACAATATGTCAGAACTTTGCAGGCAATATAAGCTGGTGAGGAAAAGTCAGGGTGAATGGTGGGAGCAAGGACAGGGTTGGCCACTGTGGCAGTTCCCCCATTTGCCTCAAGCACTGAGAGATGCAGGCTGTGCTGTGCTCAGTGCTTTTGACTGTGGTCCTCAAAGTGGGTTATTGTATTAGTTTTTCAACTCTGGAAATTTGCTACAAGCGCATCTCAGATAAAAAGTGAAATGAGTTTTGCAACTATGGCAAAAAAGCAATTTTACATTTCATAGGCCTTTTAAACCCCTTTTCAATAGAAAATAAAAATAACAGTAAGGGGAAGAAAAAAGGCTACATTTCCATTCCTGGTTTTATAGTTTGAGGTTGCAGATGTTTCTGGGTCAGAGGTGAACATGTCTTTAGGTGTCAAAAGATGCAATAATCTGAGTCAAAAATGGCCCAGTCCCCAGAACCGTGACTGTGTGCCAGAATATCCCCACCTCAGAAGCTTGCTGGCAGCAATGTGCTCCAGGTGTCTTACACTACACAGACCTGGTAGTCATTTTAATATTTTCCATGTTTATGTAAATGGACTTGATGTGTGCTCATCAAATGTGGGAAAATCCCACAGAATTGCATGCCATCTGTTCATAGGTAAAAGGTCTATTTTGCTGACAATTTAGTGCAAAATCAGAAGACAGAATGAAAGCAAGCACACTTTTGTTTTGTTCTGTTTTGGTTTTATAAATCTGAGGCCTAACGTCATATCAAAAACCTAACAAAGTTCAAAGGTTCATTCTGTTTGGATACCATTGTCCTATTCAGATGTATGAACACTACCTGAGCCCCACGGAGCTCTTAAATCTGCACCACATGGCTACAACCTGCAACCTAGTGAAACCCAGAGCACACTCAGGATTCAGCAGGACATGGCTGAGGGTGCAAGGGCCACATCTTGGGCAGCTGGATGTCACCATTTGTGCCTCAGACCAGAAGCCTAAAGCTGACAGTATTTCATCACTTCTGGTTGGCCTCAAGTGAGAAACTCAAGCTGAAGCAAAAACTAAATGGCTCATTTAGAAAAAGCATCACCTTATTTTACTTAACACCCAATACTGCATTTGCATTTTTGTTAGAATTAAAGCCAAGTTTAATTCAACTAATTTTGTAGACGGCTATCAAAGTGTCCATCTTTATTGTTTTGGTCTGTTATAAACAAGACTGTTAGACAAAAGGCAGTTATGTTTGAAGTCCAGAAAGCAGCTATGAAATTAAAAGGAAGGGTGTGGTCACAATGATCTTCAGCATCAGTTGATAGACATCAATCAGTCATCAGAAGAGGAATTTGAGACGCTTCTTGTCCTTTTACTACATGTGGAACATGCACTTGTACATTTCTAGAGAACTAATAACCAGACCTGGGAAATTTATAGCAGAATATGAGTCAGACATTTTCAGAAGATGATGTCAAAGACTGTTTCAAAAGTGTATTTTCATTATATCCCATCAGGGAGTGAGATCTTGTCTTGGGTGAAAGAAGAGTTAATGCAACTGGCAGGGGAAAAAAAACATCAGAAGAAAACAAATTGACAAAGCTAATCAAATCCACATATATGCAATCTAAAACCTCAAATTGGATATAAGGTAAGCTAAAAGGACACTACAGCATCAAATGCTGTTAAACCATGCAATACAACCTGAAGAGAAGACAGAACAAAATCTCTGTACAGACATGTGCCAGATTCTCAGCAATGCAGGTCAGTGTATCTCCACTGAGATAGGCTCTACTGCTTTACATGGGCTTAATCCTGCCTCTAATGGCCATAAGTAGATATGTTAACCTTGCCACCAGCATTGTACTGGGGTATAAAAGTTGAGAAAAAGAGTTTGAAAGTGCCTATGGTCAGTTAATTGGGAAAACAACCAGTTCCCCATGGTATAATCTACCCCATTTGCCAAGAGACAGGTTTTATATGTTTCAATCAGAAAAGTGCAACTCCTCCAGTAACGTGGCTGAGACATTTACTTTGAAAATGAGGAATCTTATTTCCAAGGTCAATCTGAGGTTTCCTGGGTTCAGACTAAAATACTTTGTGGGGCCAAAGAAATATTTACTGGGTTCTAGGGAGCAGGGAGTGGATGTGTAGTTTGAACATATTTCAAGTCAGCCTGGGAGGTCTTTTTGTTTTTATATATTTCTGTCTCCTCAGACAACCTTTTTTCTTTTTCCTGAAAAAATGAAAATTAAGAAAATGATGACTTTTTTTTTGCCAGTATATTTCAGTTGGGTCATTTCCTGCATTGAACCAGAGAACATGCATTATTGACACCCTTTCCAGAATGTATTTCTTTCCAGTGCATCACATGAAACTATATAGTCAAATTTTGCCCAAGGGCTGCCATTCCTTCTGTATTAAACTAGGAGTTTCCGTATAAAGCAATGGTTTGCTTTATGTGACCTTTGACAGTGGGACTGTTGGGAGAATGATATTATATGTTATAGGGCTAATGCTAGGTGGAGTTTTGTAGGCAGTCGTAAATTAAACAGCAGCATTCTACAAATGGGCTCCGTGATGAGTAGGTGATTGGAAGATGAGCTACTGCATGCTAGAGATTAACATCTCAATAGAGAAACTATCACCTAGCCCAGAAATGACAGCAAAAGGTTAAAAGAAATATTCAATATTATCAATCATATTAAAAAAAAAGAGAACTTCTTACAGCTGCCAAAGGAGCTTGGGAGAATTAATGTGTTTATGTCGAAAAGACTAAGAAGTGAAATATGACTACAGTGATTGTCAGAATCTTACTTGCCCGGAGAGATAACATTGGACATCCAGTGTAACTAGGCAGGTGCCAGGAATCCTCCTTGCGGATGCTATGGAGCGGCTTTCAAATATAAGAATGTACAACAACCCCCATCCTCTGGTCCTCTCTGTGGTTTCTGAGTTGCTTATTAAACCAGGGAAACCTCCAGTGAGGTGTGATGACCTGAAAACAGACAGAAGCTAAAGAATCAATGTTTTAAGTAAAACAGCAATTATAAAAAGATCTACAGCTCCTTCCATGTAATCAGGTAAATTACCAGGAGTGGTGTAAAGCACCTGAACTGGACAAAGAGTGGAGGGAGGGGGAGTGGGAGCAAAAGAAGGTCCCTTGGGAGATATCTGATAGGATGCTTAGTCTGTGTAGAGGGCAAAAGGTTAAGTGAAAATGAGATGAAGGAATGATCAGATACAGTCAGATCAGAGACAGTTAAATAAAGGAATGTGCTAACCTAAGATAAATGTGAAGAAGCGTGCCTGTGCTGAGTGTGTTGATGTAGCTGTTCTCTAGCAGTTCAGGAACCAGAGAGGAGGAATTCCCAGTTCCCAGCCCACATCAGTCCTAGCGGAAGCACTTCTCAGCGAAGAAACAGAAGGGATAAGGACACAGGGTTAAGATTCATCTCTGCTAGTCCAATAGTGTAAAAGGATATTAAAGTGCTTCTAATTTCATCTACACTTTTTGCAGGTCCCTTTTTACTGCTGGTGTGATATAAATCTTCCTTAGTGAGGAGAAAGAAAGTCAGGCCTGTGCCATCTGTGGTTTTGGACAATGAGAAAGACGCTGTTTAAAGAATATGAAAACAGAAGTACTGAGAATTACTTGAAAGCTGAAAACTTTGTTGGTTGGCTAACATTTTCATGGGTCAGAGAGTTCTTGTTGGAATGGGTTTCCATAACAACAAACAACATTTGGTTGAAAGAGGTGCATAATGTAGCAAACAAATGCTTGGGACACAGTCTACATAAAACTTCATCAAATACTTTGGTAAATGTCCATTCTTAGACTACTCAACAAAAATGGCCTGGAATAACAGGCAGCACCAGAAAGCTCAAGATGTATCTGTACTGAGCAAGTCTGGAAATGACCACAAGATTTTTGTTCAAAAGCCTTTCATTGCTTACAGTCTTTAAATGTTTCTAAGAACAGCCTTAAGTTTCTAAATCCCAAGATGAAAGTTCCAGTTCTTATACGCACAATTTAGAAGTCAGTACTTTTTGTGCTTCCTCAGGATCTTAAATTAACATATACAATTAGACCTTGGAATTAGGAAGTTGGAGCTTTAACTTGTCTGCTAGATGCTAATACCTGGGGAACACCCAAACTAGATTTCTGAAAATCTCAACAATTTTGGTGTTACAACTCTTTGAGGGAAGAAATTATTGTGTGTTCTTCACAAAGAGTTTGATTAGTCATAGAATTCATTAGATCTAGCTGAACTTCTTATCTTTAAGACTAAAACAGATCCCACATATATTTCTGTCAACGCTAAGCTACAATGAAAGAAGTGTGAGTCTGTAAATGAGGAGTTTTAAATGTAAGAGGCGGTTGAAGCATTTTGATTCTATTCAATCAAGGTCAGTTTTCCTCTGAATTATATCTGTTTCCTTGTCTAACATTTTAGATACCTTCCAAGTGTCTATCGACAGAATTTATAAGTGGCATTCAACAATGATGAAGAAAGCAAGCTGCTCACAAAACTCCCCCTTTCCCTATGTGATAAAAAGCAGAGTTTCAGAGGAAGAGACAAAGAGTGTTTCGGTCCCAGTCGTGTGTGCCTATGGGAAAGGAGTGCTGAAAAGAGGCCAACAGCTCTGGGAAAGAGGGGAGGGAGGGAAGAGCACAAATCAGCTTTATGAGCTAGTAAATGATGGATGGCTAAATGCCAGTTGAGAGCAATACATACAATTGAGTTTGCATTGTTGCGATTATTAAAGGTTATTTTACTTTTAATTTTTTGTGGTAGGTGTTCTTATTCCTTCCATACAGAAACCCTTGATTTTCACTTGCTACATACTTAGATGCACTTGTCATACCCAAAAGGTGATTTCAGTTCTCGGATGCCAGGAAACCTTTCCACTGATCAAAACACAGCTGCACGGACTTGCTTGATCTATTAATGGGTGCCACAACTCTAGGGTATGTCTGTCTATACCTGTGAAAATAGATATAATTAATATAACAGATATCCTACGTATATGCAAATCCAGATGGTAAAAATGACTTATAGTAAGACAAGGTTTTCATTTGTCAAACGAAATCAAGATATTTGAATCACTTAATCAAACATATGCAATCTGCACTCGGACTACTGCTGCTGCAGTGACATCAGCATCCTCTTAATCTATTTTATTTTACATTGAGCTTGTTTTTTATTGAAAGATCTTAAGAAATGCAATTTTTTAAACCTACTTTAATTAGCTTTTTCCATGCTGTCACCTCTCTGCAGCCTTTAAAAAGCTCTTTCCATTATTTCCCATGAGTTACTTGGGCATATGATGTCAGACCATCGGACTACAGGAGTTGCCATTTAGTGGACAATGATCTTGGGCACTGAGACAATGAATGAGCAATCTTCTGTTTTATATAAAATGATTTCAGTGTAGGACAGGGAACAGAATATTTTCTCATAGATAACCTTTTTATCCATTACAGAAATGCATATCATCCTCTTTACTAACAAATAAGAGAGAGAGGCAATATCTTCAGTATGCTTTATTATATTAGTACATTTTGTATTACAATTTTATCTTCTTCACTTTGACATTTATTTCTCCTTTAATGAGTCAAAGTGTCTAGCAAAGAGCTCTTGACTTTAAGCACATTCTTAACATCAGCATATTAACTGTCACATTCAGTCTCATAGGCTTAACTTATCTGTTTGAGATCTTTGTCAAACAAGACCCAAACTCCCTGATTTTAAAAAATTGATGTAAATGGAAACTTTCACTTTAGTGGCACTGGAAAGACAATAATGCTGCTTCATCATCATCATAATAATACAAACATTCAGTATTATGGGTTTTCTCCCAAATATCTTTATTTGTGATAAGTGCCTCTTCTTGTAATAAAAGATGCTGAACAAAAAGTAGTTTAACAGCGATTCTGAAGTCTTGATTTGCAACAGTTAGTCTGTTTTGAACCCTTCATTTAATTTCCTTTTCTATGGTGAGGGCAAACAATTGTTGTAGCTTTCATCATGAGCTCAAGCGTTACATTTTATCAGACCAAACTTAAGTGCTTGAAGATGGGTCTAACATCTTTTTTTTTTTTTTTTTTAAGGATGTGACAAAGCCAACTGTAAGCAAATTAATGCAAAAACACGAGGGCATTTTTTTCATAATCTTGGGTAATTCTGAGCAAAATTTCAAAGGACCTCAGGTTCCTCTCAGAAATTTAGATGAAATAGTTGCAGGTTTTGAATATTTTAAAATTCTGACTCTTAAATCACATTAGCATGAATCACATTATCAATGTAAGGGAAATCATAAGTGAAAATATACAGCTGATGTAATCTATTTTTAAGAATGATTTTAGAATAAGATTCCTCGTTAATTATGATTATTTTAATAGAAGGAGATAAACCAATGTACCTGACATTTAGAAAGTGTGACATCCTTTTCCTCCCTCTTAATCCAAAACAACTCTGCAGGATTTGGGGTTTCTGAAAAAGCAATAGTGATAGATTTTCCATATATACCCTTATTTCTGTCTACTAGAAGAGCGTTACATACAGTGGTTGAAATTCTCTGTGATTTGATCTTTGCTCATTGTTGACCGAAGGGCTATTTCTACCTTTCTCAGTGACACTGGGCCAGAGCTCACCGCTCACAGGAGTGTGTCTCAGTAGGTTAGAAGTACCTCTCAGTGTCAGAGAAACTGAATGCACTCTTGAAGACTGGGCCCACCAAAGTCTTTCTATATTTAAGCTGTCTTTCAGTGGTTATGGTATTTCTGACTTCTTACTCTTTTCTTGTGAAACCGGGAGATAGGGTTAATTTGCTTCCTTGTTTGCATGTATGAGGAAGTGAGAGAAAAAAATAGAAATTCTTTTAAGAGTGAATGCCTCATGAGAAAATTCCATTTGCCTGCCTGACTTGGCATTTTCAACTCAATTTATCAGTTTCTCCTGAAGAATAATCCAGCTTTTCCTGGTAATATGCACTGTTTAAGTGCTGGATATATGCTACAGTAATAACAATTACAAATAATTACTCTAATGAGGTGAACAAATAACACCAATTAGGTGGTGTGATGATGTTTTCATGATAAACTCCAGCTTTACAGAGTTGTTCATTTTTAAATCCAAAAGATTTCTGATATCCTTTGTCAGGCAACAGTGTGACTTGATCACCTCAATTAATAAATCTCTCTCACTAGATGCACATAGTCATGGACTGTACTCCTACTTAAGTCAAAATTTCAATCAACACCTAGTGCAGAACTACGTTTAGGCTTAACTGTAAAGACTTAGTCATAATAAAGCAGATTTTCTGATACTTATGAATAATGTCATTGACGATTTCCTGAGGAAACCTTAAAAGAATAGAAGTGTTGGTGTGCACATATACTTTGTTACAGAACAACACTTCAGCCTGTTGTTAACTCCAGGTGTATTAACCTCAGTCATCAAATACAATGGATTTACAGACATGTCTAAACTTAAGCTTAAGTAACATTCAGAATAGAAATGTTTTACTGAACTGAGAGTTAAACTGAAGTATGCTCTTGTTCAACCACAGAGGACAGAGCTTCTTGCTGAAAGAATATGTAGGTCTGTGCAAGAGATTAAAATATTTGGTGTCATAATACTACTTCTGAAACTGAGTACCTATGAACCTAATTCTCAATGCTTTTGCATTAAACTGTTCCTCCCAGCATTGTAATGGGTATACAGTAATATTGAACAACAGAAATTAATGAGTATGATTTTAAAAATCTTTACACATGTTTAAAATTTAAATCATATCACACCAGTGATACTTGTCATTTTGAAGGACCTTTGTGCTTCTCATCCTTCTCCTGCTAAAACCAACAGTTCAATCAACTAACCAATAAATTTTTTTTTTTGCATTTTGTGTGGGACTTTCTTCCTTTCTACACCACATCTTGACTGTAGAGAGAAAGAAATTCAAGAACCATGTAGTGGATCATCAGTAAACTTTTCAGGTCTGCTGAAACAAAATCCACAGGTCCCCAGGTTCACTCAAATAAACAACAGATATTAACAAGTTCATGATGATTCACATATATCTGCACCATATTCTGTCAGAAGGGATGGATGCTCTTCATCCACTGGTATAAAAATCAGACACATCAATATAAAATGTGGGCTTACCCGACAATTTACTGCCACACTTTCTGTTCTGCAGCTGACCTGTGACAACCCCTTGCTCACAGACAGGGAGAGGAAGCGGGAGGCAGTAACAATCCAGAAGTCTTCCAGACCTAATGAGCAGTGCTTCCACAGCCAAAGACTTTCAGATAGAGACAGATCAGTGTTTTGTTAAACTGGAGACTTAAAACACGAAAAAGACTGGGGAAGTCAGAAGTCAAAAGCATGGTAACTGTTTTTCTAAAACTCACTGGGTCACCAAACACAATCACCAAGTGACCAGAGCTCTTCAGTGGATATTAATTCACCAAGGTGTTTCTCCACGCACATTTAATGTTTCTTGTAACCCATGAATTGTTTTCTCAGAGAGCACTCTTATCAGCCGTTAACACACTTGGTCAGAGTTGGAGGCCTGGCTGTAAAAAAGCACTTTCACAATGTTGTACCGTTGTTCCTCCTGCCTGGTGTCTCTTAGCCGGCAGTTCAGCGCAGCCACTTGAGCTTACAACTTTCTCACTTGCTTGGATAGCTTCTTCACCAATGTTTAAGCAATAGTGAGGTCACCACTCGTGCATGTCAGTCACATCTCAGAAACAGAGGAGGAAAAGAAACAGACTTAAAATACCCAGATGAGATAACAATTTGAATATTCTTATTGACTTTTGATAAAGGGATATAGTAGTTCAGAAATGAAGAGGGTCTTACAGCTCCATTGATCTGGAACCTCAGTGGAGTTATGCTAGTATATATGGTGTCTTGGAGTATTAAAAAGGGGAGTCAGATTGGTAACTTCTAGTTAAGTAGCAATAGTTACATCCCAGAATAGAATCCTGTATGTACTTCAGCAAGTCAAAATTTTACCCAGTTGATACACACTGTATAAAATACCATTTTTTAAAGATTACTTTGTTGGTTTTGGACTCAAATTTCAAATATCTGACAAGTTCCCAAACCTGCTTGTAAAAATCCCCAAGTCACGAGTCACGAAAATCTGTTCACTGTAAAAAGGGAAGGGGGGTAGGGTGGGGAAGGAAAGGTTTGTTGATAAGTTTGCTAAACTATTAAAACGTTTAACCACAGCCTGGAGCTCAAATCAGCATTCATGTGAAGTTCCTATTTATTAAAGTATGTGAAAAGTGTTCAGCAAAACTATATCTTCTTTTTGAAGGAGATGCACCCAGGTAATTAAGATGTAATTCTTAGATCCATTTCTTAGGAATACAGAAACGTGAGTGATAAAAACAGTTCAAAACTATGCTTTGTCCCATTTAAAATTTCTTGAGAACATACTCCTATTTGAAATAAGTAGTAAAGTATAACAGGAAAAAACAGACAAGGGAGCAATCACGAAGGCATTTATCAAGATGAATTGAGGGCCTCATTGACTTGTCTAAATCTATATAAAGAAAATGTCCTGCAAGTCACTCTGAAAGTGATGGGAACGCATGCTTCAAACACATGTCTTGAAAGAATGTCGGAAATCTCGTTCCTCTTTTGGCTGCGGTTACAGATGCTTTCTCCAGACAGTGGGCTCACTAGTTTCAGTTGTCTGGAGTACTCAAAAATACATTTTCCCCTGGAAGATAGTCTGCATATGCTTACAATAAACATTAATGAAATCAAATGACTTTCACTTCAGGATAAATACTTTCAAGTAAGTCTGTTAGAGACACTTATAGTAAATTGCTATTAATTAGTTTTTTCAATCTACTTAGGTAGTACTAATGAACAAAATCACTTCTAACATATTTATATGCTGGATAAATCCTGCCTCTCTCTCTATGCCTGTGAAAGGCCCAAGGTAAAATGGAGATATCCTGCTGCAGGAGCACCTGGCAGCCACTTTAGGACAGGTGAACGATCCTGCTGGTTTTCTGTCGCTGAACTGTGCTGGCTGAGGAACAACCAGGAGGAGCTGTCAGCACCCACTGCCAGACAGCCACCCCAGTGCCTGGGCTTGAGTGGGACAAATTCTGTCCCTTTCTGGACACAAAATATGTAAATTACATAACACTGAAACTCTCAGCTCTGCAAAGCCAATGAAACCACGTTTTCCTATAACTGTTACTTCCCCTTTTTGCATATTACCCGCTTGTAATTTATATGATAGTATCTCTAGAGATGGGAACTTCTTTTCTCATGCTTGTGAATATAACCTAACACCAATCCCAGCCCTGATGGGACATTTCAAGGCATTACTGGAAGGAAAGCAGTCACACTAATACCTCTCAGCTCCCTTCTGCTATGCCAAAATATAGTATGGAAGTAAGAATTAGAATGATGTCTATATCACAAGTTAAAAACAATAATATTACTTTCAGCAATTTGAAGATAGTTACTGAAAAATCCCTAGGTATCGCAGAGCAAATTTCCTGGTAATTTGCTTCACCAAGTCCTAAATAGTACTGAAATGCAATCCAATTATTTTTAGAAATTATCTGCTTTATTTTTGTGCAATTTTTCTTCACAGCTCTGATTACCTAAAGAGGTACTACAGCAGACCATAAGGCTTAGATCTAGCTGAGAAACCTGCATGCATCACATAAAGCGTACGATTCCACAACTCATTAAGTCTAATTTATGGCATAAGTAATTAAGCACCTTTGAATTGAACCCAGGTCTCTAGAGATAATAACACTTAGAACTTATATAGGGCTTTTCATCTTCAAAGTGCTTTACAAACATTAACTAATTAACAACATAATAAGACATGAAAGGCCAATGTACTTACCCATAGTGCTGCATAGCCTCAGTATAATTCAGATTTTGATGCTTTTCAATGCAAGATTCAATCTGGGTGCACAGGGAGAATTTACTTGTGGTCCCCTTCACAATCAGAAAGCACGACTGTGTACATACATATCATATATCTGAATTCCCAGAGTACTTTTCTTGTCTGCTATTTATTGCTGAGTCAGAAGAAACAGCTCCCAAAAGTGAAGGAAGGTATGGAAAAGAGCAGCTCAGAGCAGTCTATGAAAGCATTTGAGTTTCCTAGGCTTTGGAGCCAGAGTAACGTGGACTAATGCAGGAAGGAGTTCCCAGAGAATTCACTGCATAAGATGTCTGGTACCAACTAAGTCCATATCCTTCCCAAGGTAAATCTAATAATAATTACACAAAGTCTCTAGGGACTGGCTAAACTATCAGGGAGAAGACCATATTTCAGCTCAAATACATTTTCCTGGTAAAACCTACAACACTTTCTTCCTTCTCTCTGCTCTTCTGAAAAGTCTGAAATATCTAGCCAATTGTCTGTTAGTTTTTGAGGCTTTTTTAATCGCTTGCTTTAATTTACACACAAGCCTCTTGAGATATTTGCCTTATTATCTCAATGAATGTTTTCTTGGTGATAGCAATGTTGAAGATGTTCTATCGGGTTACTTGAATCCCTCCTGAACATTACTAATACAGAAAGATGAAGGATAAAATAAAAGGGGAGCAAAATAACATGGGCAGTTTCAGTGACCAGTCCTTCAGACATCAGCTTGCACCAGTGATCATTTTCATGAGCTCAGAATGCTGACCATTGTCTCTGCGTATGCTGTGTTTAAGCATCACCTGCTCACCAGCTAACAAGATAATGGGTATCACGGCAGTATCTCCTCCTCTCCAGACAGCGTCTGCCTCTGTCCCCTTGGAGATTCTACCGTGCACCAAAAATTGAGAATTTGGAGACCAGTGGAAAATATGCCAAGCATGTAAGAGAGAACTATGCATATGTACATCCCTAACTCAGAAAAAAATGTGACTCCGTAGTAGTGGTACAGGTGGAGCCCCATGAGAAATTAAAGAAAATGAGACATACCATGGACCAGAAAACAAAATGTATGTGAAACCGGCAGGCTTTTGTGCTTCCCCACAGACAAGCAGTCCAGAACAAATCCTGAAAGGTAACAATCTCACAGTAGTAATGCCTACAAGAGATCCAACAATAAACATAGGGTCTAATTAAAAGCGTTACAATTTTTAAATGCAAATGTAGAATAGAACTGTCAAAATGTTTTATCCCTAAAGTGTGAATGCTAACCTTCCCATACTTATTATATAGCAGTACATTTCAATTTGCCTGGAGCAGAGTTGAATAAAGCAAGCATTACAAACAATCAAATGGATATTTGAAAGTACTGCTCTTCACAATAACTCTGTGTCTGAGCAAAGCTTCAACTGTTGATCAATTGATTACCAAAATCAAAGAATACGTTTCCCAAATGAGCTTCTACAAAGCACTCAATTGCACCAGAGAAAACAGCATAAAGCTCCACAGAACAGCATTCTTCTCTAAAATATTTACAAATGAAACTTTTTACTGCTTTCATGGTTTATAGCTTAGATCTGCAGAGATCTAGAGTGTAGAGTGAAGCATTTCTGATAAATCAATGGTTTGATTCAGTTTCAGTGTGGCAATTCAGTTAAACAAAGATAGAAAACAGTCTGAAATGATCCAAAGGTATACTTTAAATCTTCTGGCAAATCACAGTCTCTCTGGCACAATTGCTCAAATTACTTTTGAAATTTTAATAAACAAAATTACAGCAAAATATATCAAATGCTCTAGTTGAAAACCATGTATGAACATTCTCATTTCATAAGGCACAGCTCTTGATTTTTTTTTTTCCTTAGAAATAAGACAGACCTATTCACCCTTATCTGTCCCTTTGGAATGCACAACATTGCCTGTAAGAGGACTACTACATGGCCCTTATAAAGATATATAAAGGTGAGATGCTTGGCCTGGTTTTGAATTTGTCTCAGGCAGTGACTATATGCTCAGCAGAGGCCTCTGTTGAACTAACCACAGTCCACTAGAGCACTCATGGGTATTCTCCAGCTCTTCCCCACACTGAGATGGCTATTACTGAGAATGACTAAATATTAACTATAACTATCAGTGTTCTGTCCATTTGCCATCTCCAGTGAATTGGTTTCTGCTGATGTCGTGATGCTGTACTTCTACTGTTTCCTTTTTCATAAATGGGTTTCTCTGTCAATCAACTTCAGAGAATAACTGCCCATCAAATACACACAGTTTTCATTTAGTGACTTTAACCTGAAAAAACAGGATGAAAAAAAGGAAACTAACATTCAACCTGAAACAAATATATTACTTACATGAGCTTCCTTACATTTTATCCTCCTTTTAAGGCAGGTTTTCTTATACCACCTCTTTCAGTAGCCTCACCTGTTGTGCTGTCCTGTCCTCACCATGATAAAACATGAGCCGGGGTGCAGATTCTGGAACATGCTCTCTCTTGAGAGCAAAATTCAGAGTTGTTCAAGAGCAGGTAAGCTCTCAGCACCCTTGTCGTTACTCCCCCATCTCAGTAAGAGGCATTTTTCCTGCAGAACATGATGGGATTTTGACCCCGTCATGTGACTGCTGTACTATTCTGGAAATTTTTAGGGAAAAACCTGAAGGATCAAACCCAATCTGTTGATTTAAATTAAAAGTTTGCTCAGCAACAACTTGAAATATCAGTTGAAGACCCTCTACCTTCAGAGCTTCTGACATTTGATGTTGAGGTTCTGATTCTATTAGGATGCAGACTTTATAGCCCTTAATCCTTCCCATAAGGCACTGCTTCATTAAAGGGCAAAAAACCCAACCACCCACACCACATTACACTCTCAGCAATTCTTAGAGTAACAGAGATTATACTGACCTGCAGAATTTTTCCTTTTCTACAAAAATATCTTTCTGGAACACACCTCTGTTGAAATCCTCTTGTGTAAGCAGAGAGCACTCCAGGACTTATTGCAACTTAAGCAAGTGAACAAATGTTTAGCCTTATGACAATTAGGCAGTTGACTCTCCACCTGTACCTTTCATCTCTGATCAGGAAAAGAAGCATGGTAGAAGGAACCTGTCAGAAAAAAAAAAAAAAAAATGGAAAAGGAAAATGGTGACTGGCCAATATTGACAGAGGAGCCAGAAACACAAGAGATCAATAATTTATAGGGAAGGGGTATTTTAATTCTCCTTACATTTTTGCAAATAATTTCAAATGAGCTGCGCTTGAACAAAACCGGTTTTATCTCCCATTACTCTGGGCATTATGGTAAGGAGGACTTTCTGAAACTTCCCACCATTCTGTATGTCCTCAGGGTGCCAAGAGAGATGTCACAATTTCTGTCTCTCACTGGTATTTTCTGTTTTCCTGGACACTCACTGGGAACACCCACTGTTTCAGCAGCAGCTGGGAGGGATAAAGAACATATTATTCTACTCTGTCCTCCCTTTGCCAATTAATGAGAGATTTTGGGAGGTAAAGCCAGGGACATTTTTCTTCCAGTGCTGCACATGGACCTGCCTTTCCCCCTTTTTGATCCTGTACTACTGTAACATTGTATCCTTCAGTATCTCAGTCAGCTCCTAAGCTTGGGAGGAAACAGCAGCAATTCTGCTTCTGGATCTTGTTTTTATATAGGTCTGCTAATCACATAAATATCCTGAGTCTTACAACAGGTGATTTAATGGTATCGTTAATACTATTTTAAATCTACAGAACTGAGGCACACAGTAATTGCTTGGACAGGAGGCTGGGCACCAAAACCAGATTTCCTGTTAAACTCTTTGATATTCATTCATTTTCTGATACTTCAATTTTTTCTTTTTGCTCTAACATGTTTACAAAATACATACAAAAAAAAGGTATCAGAGCCAAAACCAAGTCAATGAAAGCAATTAAATGAAAGTATTTAAATAGATAATGGCATTTCTTCTTCCGTATGACTGTCTTTCTGTACAATAAGGCAAGATGAGGTTCTTCCTGTGCTAGCAGGTAGCTGTAACTCTGCAAAGAGTTACTGAAGCGCTAATATTGATTGGGCAAGATGGAACGTGTTACTGAGGCAATTGGTCAGGCTAAAGCAGTGATGGCAGCACATGGGATATTATGGATGGCTGAAGTAACTGAGGATATCTATCTTTCTGTCTATCTACCTGTTTTCCAAGATGTCTATCATCATTGAACTTAGCTACCAAGGAACAATGGCAGCACTTAATCATCAATAGATAAATACTGTTTATGCCATTAATTGGGGACTGGGTCAGATTTTCCTTGTTTTTACCTTTGCTGCTTTGCTTTTTTTTTTTTTTTTTTCTTCCCCTCCACAGTTGTGAGACAGTAGTATTTTCTCACAGCCTGTATGTATTGGTTTGGAACTTGTGTCAGTGGCAACAGCATAGCTCTGTGTGTCTGCCAGAGCTCCTTTCCAGGAAAAGAAAATAGCCAACTCATGAGAGTTGTTATGAAATTTCAAACCCAGTGCCTTTTCATAATATCTGGAATATGATTTGGAAGTAGCAGCAGTGTGACCAGTCTCTGCACCTGCAGTCAGAAGTGCCTGAATAAATAACAGAGGGAGTTTCCCAAGCAATACCTACTGTAAGCCCACAACTTCCATGGCTGCATCTTCTCTATAGTTAGTATTCAGCAAAGAGACTGCAACAGTGCAGAGCTGTGTGTTTGCTGGTATTTTTCTTGTTCAAAGCTTTTGAGAACACTTTACTGAAGCATATAATGCTGCCTTGAAATTGGCCTCTAAACCACATTTTGAGAAGAAGAAACACAGGCACTTGGCTGGGTGTTTTTGCCCTGTGCCATGGCTTGCTCGAGTCAGAAAAGCACCCCATCTCTCCCTTCCAAATCTCTCAGCAAAATTCTCATCAGTCTGTCTCTAATCACAAGATTATTCTGTAATATAGAATCTCCTCTCTTTTTGTTTTTTGTTTTTTTTTTTTTTTCTTTTTAATTTTTACAGTACTAGTTATGAGCTCTGGTATATAGATCTTCCCCTTTCAGTCTAAGATTTAGGCTCTTATATGGTTTTAAACTCCTAGGAGAATTCATTTATCACCACAGAGTCTTACATTAAAGAGTCTTCCAGGGATGACGTTAGGAGTAATCATGGTGCCCTCCTGATTTTATCTGAAGTATTCCAAAAGGAGTGTTAGATAGTCTAAATTAGGCAATATAGTTTTTGCCTTGACATTTGGAAGGTTAAATTTTGCCTGTGACTCTCAACCCCTCAGAAGAGGAGATGGCATTTGGAGTAATCCAAAACTCCTGCAGAGTTACATTACTGTGGCAGCCAGAATGGAGTAAATCTAGGCTGAAGATCTATTGGTTCAATTACTGCTTGGGGTCAGGACATGCCATAAATTATTAGATATGCAAATGGATAACTCTGACTGTTGATGAAAGAAAGATGGATGGATTTCTTAAATACTCATAATCAGTGCTAAGACTAACTATAGGCTGATGTATAGTCATTTGCTTGTAAAAGACTTCTTAAATTTTACCTGCATGCAGATAAAAAGAAATTATTTTTTGTTTTACACATGTGTCATATTTTAAAAATAAACTTAAACCATTTGGAGGTCTGTTTTGAACTGCTTCTGCAATGGCCCTTAATTTTTAGAAGTAAGTTCAGAAGATACTAATTCTCATTCTGTTCTCAATTACCAGAGCACAAATCTGCAACACTGCTCTGTATTCAGTGAAGACACACTGACAGTGAATTTGGAAGGAGAATCTGTTCCTTTGCTCTATGGAGGTATGTAGCAAAGAATGTCAAAAAACTACCTCAGGTTTGCGAATTTGCTGCAGAGCAAATGAGTGCTGGTACATGATAACATGACCTTATCACAACATGAACTCTGTGGTGCTTCAAGAGATTTTTGTGGATAGAAAAATAAAATGTAATTAAGATACTACTCTATCACACCTGTTTTTGCTGTTCCTTAAATACATTTTTTATAGTCTTATTTCTCAGTGTGATTAAAGTTGGAAGAATTTGACCCCTACTTTTGTCATATAGAAAGTTTGATACTTCTATAAAAACTTGTTGAATTTCTCTTGTGGATTAACTCTTTTGGGAGAGATGTTTTTACTACATGTAAGACAAAATGATTATGAGTGTGAGAATAACGTGAGCTATTCAACGCCACCTGCTGCTGCAAGGGGAAATATATTCCCAGATGCACCTTGACTGAGCAGAAACAGATGTGGAACTATAGGAAAACTTGTTCTGCTTGACAGTAAGCTTGCTTTGCAGAATTATATCACCATGCATGAGGGAATATACTTTCCTAAAACTGATGCTAACTTTTTCCAAGCAGTCTGTGAAAGCCAATAGAGTTTCTAAAGGGTATACAGCATTCCTCCCCTGGATGGTAGCTTCTAAACAGTTTTCACTTCTGTCACTCTAGATAGAATATTTTTCAAAATTACTACAGGCTCCTAATACTACTCGAGGCTCCTAATTCACTGCCTAAATATAAATCTCCTGGCCACTGCTCCCACTGTTGTTATTGTTATTATTATTATTATTTTAATAAAAGTTTACATGGTGAGGATGACAACTAGAAAGTAAATGGACAATTAGGTATTCTCCAAGTAGAGATCAGAAATTAGTTCATATCATGCAGCTTCCATAAGAAAAAAACTATTAGGAAATGCATTTTAGCTAGTTATAATATATACTACTTTGAGACAAAAGTATTGTTTGTATATGCAGGTATAGAGCCACCAGAAGCAATGGAATGAAATCTATTTCCTTGAAACTTCAGATAAGGCACTGCAGCTCACACTTGTACCTTTTAAGTTCATGAAAGCCAGTGACATTGTGTGGGTAAGAGTGGTGTGTGTGGTGTTTAAACTGTGATTATTCAATTTTAGCCTGACACCAATACAATGTGGAAACAACTCCCTAAAACCAGTGAAACTATACATGGAGAATCATATAAGATCAATCCATCAGATTTTAAATATTTTCCTATGCAACACAAACAAAAATGAAAAGGAGTATAAATTTTTAAGCCTTTTAAAGATGTTTAATTTAAGTTGATTTCTGTTTATTTATAATTTGATTTTATTAGTTCTGCTCTGAATCATGAAAGTATCACAAAAGTATCAAAGTCAAAATGCAACCAAATCCCCCATTAACCAGACAATGTACTCCAAAATGGATGAAATTTGAGAAAAAATATATGAAACACAGCAGGAAAACAAGCAAACTACAAGAAATTATGAATAGCATCTCTTAGTTCATGTGTGAAAAAAAAACAAAGAAACAAAAAAACCCACCTATATGTGCATGACAATTTGTAAAAAAGCAACCAAGCAAAAATTCACCTTGGGGAAGTGAAGAACTGAATAATCTGTATTTCTGCTTGACTTCTAGACAAAAACCCAAGTGTAAATTCTGCTTAAATCTGTTCAAATATTCAGTGTTGTAATAAGCATCTTCACTTTCCTGTAAGCTGGCAGCTTTTAGGAAAGAATAATGCTAATTTTACAGAAACATTCCTTTAAAACTTACAAGAAAGATGCTGCAGAAGTTCAGCAACATATTGGAATCTTCTTTAATATTCTTTATTTCTATACCCCCAGCTCCCTCTTGTGCCACTCATTTAATAAATATGAATTAGTTTTCTTACAAATAACTGCTATTTTGCAACACAACAATTCAGTGCAAGAAAATAAAAGCATATTTTTCAGTAGTTATAATAATCTATGGCAAAAAAAGGTCTCTAATAAACCTTCTGGGTCTGCATAAAAATGTGGTTTATTGATCAGGCGGTAAATATTTTTAAGCTATATCATTATTTTATTACCATGAAATGGTACAACGGGACCATACTCCCAACTTTTGTCTCATTCCCATATAGGGATTTTTTTAAGATTGTGCTCAGTACAAGGAATTCTTTACAGTTAACTCAAGGTGCATTTTATCATCTGGTCTCCTCCCCTCAGTTTACTTATAGACAATGACAGAGTAATTATAATATACTGAATGCAGTGTCTCTTATTTTGTTGCTTGTTTCTTTACTGACTTCCCAGAAAGTTTGTAGTTAAAA